TCTTGAGCAGTGGAAGTGTAGTAGACTCCGGGTGTGAGATTTAAGTTGGGAAATACCAAATCTGCAGAAAAATGTGGTGAAAATGCTCATGGTTTGATTGTTAGTCTGGAAATTTGGAGCTTGGATAGTTGAACTAATCTTGGATTGATTTGGGCTGCTTGGAATGCCACGGGAGCAGGCTGGGCCACAAGAGTGGGCTGCTCGGCGGGAGCAGGCTGGACCACGAGAGTAGGCTGCTCGGCTGGAGCAGGTTGGGCCACGAGAGTGGGTTGCTCGAATGGAGCAGGCTGGGCCATGGGAGCAGGCTGTGCCACGAGAGTGGACTGCTCGGCTGGAGCAGGCTGGGCCATGAGAGCGGGCTACTCAGCGGAGCAGGCTGGGCTATGAGAGTGAGCTGCTCGGCTGAAGCAAGCTGCTTAGTGGGAGCAGGCTAAACCACGAGAGTTGGCTGCTTAGTGTGTGATGCATGCAATAATGAAGCTTGGCTGTGGCCTTAGTACAGTGAGCCGTCTTGGATGGCACGGCTCGAGCCGTGGTGAAGGCACCATGGACCTCGCCACAGGTGACTACCGAAGTAGCCACCGCGGTGGTTCCCATGGTGGATACTCGTGGCGGTGGTGCTGCTCCATTTATTGTCGCATTTGGCCTCGTGGATCGCCGTGGTCCCATTCCTTGGATATTGGAATTTTCACTCGTGAAATTTTCTAAATTTCTAGCCATTGTATTCTTCTTTTATGTTTGATCAAAGAATCTTTGCAAATAAAAAATTCTAATAATAAGAACGTACGAAAAAAATACAAGTAGACTAGAAAATAGAGAAAAACCTTTTTATGTGAGAGTCTTCTACGAGTGTGGATTTCTTCTCTCAATGAAAGCACCAATTTATGGATGCAAATTTCTTCCTTCTTGATCTTGGACAAAATTGCACCTACAAAACAATTAACACCTTAGGTCAAGGCCAAGAGCCTCATGCGCCCATGATGAATGGGGGGGCTTTAGCCGAAGAACCTTCGATGCCAAAGTTAGAATTTAGAGAGAAAAAGTGTTTGAGAATTCTAGAGAATTTTAGCAAGAGTTGGAAGTCCCTTTTGGGAGAGAATGGAGAGCTTTTTATAGAGATATGGCCGGTCCCCTTTGGAGAAAAGGTGGCCGGCCTTTGGGTTGTTTTTTGGGTGTTATTTGGTGATTTAATTAGCCATTAACATATTGATTAGGAATACATATATTAATTGGCTAATTAACATAATAAAAGGAATGTTTTTGGGAGGTTATGGAATGAATGAAATAAATAGCTAATTGATTAAAAAAGGGAAAGTGAGGTAAAAAATATATGGAATGAAATAGGTTTTGGGAGTTACCTTGTAGAAGGGATTTGATGAGATAGGTTTTGAATTGTTACCTATTTTGGGCACTTTTGATTTAGTTGAAGGATGATTGCCCGCTGTTCGCGCGTAGAAATCCCGTTGTACCTCAAGGGTATTTTTGTCCTCTTTTGTCCAAAGATCCACTTGTCGCTTTGTGATTATTTTTGGCTGCACAACAAGGATTGTATGCACTTATATTCAGAATTATGGAAAACATGAAAATTAAGCTGTATATTTCTATTTGGCATCTGAACCGAGTTGTAACCCTATGAAAAAAATGGCTAAATGGCCAAAATGGTCCCTAAGATTGGCATAACTCATCACTTTGGTCCCTAACATTTCAAATCAATCACAGTGGTCCCTGAGAGTGTCCACCATCCATCATTTTGGTCCTTCCATTAAAAACTCCGTTAAGTGTCCTGGAGCTCTTGGCCGGAAGTTTGGGCAATTTTCAAAGCTTCGTAACTCAATCGTTTCTTAACCAAATTCGACCCATAATATATCGAAATGAAGATAGGAAAGTGTAGAATAAGATTATACCTATTTTGAAGCCTAATGGTTGCCGGAAATGATCGAAAAATAGCCTCAAAGTTGACTGGTCCGAGAGAAAACTGGAAAACTTGCCGAAAACTGGGTAAACTTTAAACGTTCATAACTTCTTCAATACTCAATGAAATCAAGTGATTCAAAAACAAAAATCATACTTCTCAACGAGATGAAGAGAATGGTACCTTTTAGATGTCTAACCCACCGTGCTACTACTGTCATGCAAAAATCAACAAGTCTTGTGTTCTTTGCTGCATCCCTGCAGCAAGCCGAGATTGCAGTTGTGTTTTTTGCTGTTTGTGTGTGATGTCGCGATGGCTAGTGTCAAAGAAAACTCATAGCTAAAGTTGGAGGGTGGTTCACGTACAACCACTAACAATTCAGTTGTGAGCCCTGTAGTGATACAGAATGATGCTTCAAACGTATCGAATACCGTAAAACTCAATGGATCAAATTATCCTCTTTGCTCCAAAGTATTGGAAATGCATATCGCTGGGCGTGGTAAGAAAGTGTTCGTGAAAGGGAGTATCAAGGAACCCAAGAAAGAAAATGCCGAGTATGAAACTTGGGAAACTAGGAGTGCAATTGTGAAATGGTGGTTGATTAATTCCATGGATCCTACCATCGTGGGTTTTTTCATCCATTTTCGTACCGTTAAAGAAGTATGGGAAGAAGTTGCTTAGACATATTATGATGGTTATGATATTTCTCAGATTTATGAGTTGAAGGTAAAGTCATTTCTACTTCATCAGAAAGGGCATCTTATTGGCGTGTACTATGCCAATCTCAAAGAAGTATGGCAATAACTGGATTAAAGAAGACCGATTAAGATAGAGTGTGTTATTGACTTAAAAACGCTTCAAGAAGAGATCCAATTGGATTGGGTTTACGCCTTCCTGTTAGGACTTGATGACGTATTTGATAAAGTACGTAGTGATATTTTAAGAACTCAACCCCCACCATCTGTTGATGGGGTGTTTTTTGTTGTTAGGCATGAAGCCCAACGTCATGCTACCATGATGGAAGGAAGTAGTGTCAGCATCCAAGGAGGAATCCCGACACCGTTCGTGGCCATGATGTCACAACCACTCTTTGTTGGCCGACCGTATGTCTCACCTTCGTCGACAACTTCTCATCCTTTTACTCGGAAAAATAAAGATGATTTAAAGTGTACTTTCTACAGTCAAAACTGTCATACTGAGGATACTTTTTTCAAAAGCATGGAGTCCTTGAATGGTTCCCTGAATTGAAGAACAAGTTACGTGTAAAGGAGCAAGCTGCTAATGGAGCATGTGAGAGCCGTGCATCCATTGCCACTGCCGCACCTAGTACCAAGGAGGTCGTGCCTACCCTTGGAGATCCAAGTCAAAGCTTGTTGACTAGGACTAATCCTAGTGAATCACTATCCAATACAGGTATTATGGGGCGTGTTCTTTTAGCCTCCGATATTGAACATCATACAGGTTGGATTCTGGACTCTGGTGCAACAGACTATATGACCTTTGATAAAAATTTGTTTACTTGAACGACAATGACTCATCGAAAGTGTGTAGTAATGGCGAATGTCACCACTGCACCGGTTATTGGGGTCAGTACCATGGACCTCACACCATCCCTCTCCCTTCATCATTGCTTGCTTGTTTCGTCATTGTCTTATAATTTGTTATCTATTCCTCAAGTTACTAAGCAATTACATTGTGTTGTACTTATGTATCCACTCTTTTGTTTACTTTAGGATATTCAGACCAAGGAGATAATTGGGCGTGTCACTAAGAGAGAGGGGTTGTATTATGTGGATGACGTCATTCCTGGCAGAGCTAATGTAGTTCGACCATCCCGTACCAATAATTTGCAAGAAGTTTGGTTATTGCATCGTCGGTTAGGACATGCTTCGTTTGGTTATTTAAGGGGTATGGTGTTTCGGTCCTTCTCTCAAATCATTACAACATAATATTCTTATGTTATTAAAGCTCTCCACTCTGATAATGGAGGTGGATATATTAGTTCCGAATTGTCTGTTTTTCTTCGGGATCAAGGAACTACTTGTCCCCATATTGCGCAACAAAATGGGGTTGTTGAGAGAAAGAATTGTCATATCTTGGAAACTGCTCATGCCTTGCTAATTGGTGCGTTCATGCCTAAACGATTTGGCCTGAAGCCGTCACTTATGCCATATATGTGATTAACCGTATGCCATCTTGGGTTGTGGAATTTCGTACACCTCTTCAAGTGTTGACGAAACATGTTCCCATAGTATCTATCAATACCCTTACTCCTTGTGTGTTTGGATGTGTAGCGTATGTTCATATTCACAATATTCATCGTAGTAAACTGGATCTATGTGCCCGTTGATGTGCCTTTGTTGGTTTTGCCTCCCAACAGAAAGGTTATAAGTGGTATCATCTTGAAACTCGACATATGTATGTGACCATGGATGTTACTTATTCTGAATCAGAGTATTTTTATTCTCCGATCCCATTACCTTCAGATCACCAGGGGAAGAACACTAGTGATAATCAGGGTGATCTTAGGTGGTTAGAGATACCATAAGATGTGATATGTACTTCAGGGGGAGCACGTGTTGACGAAAATAATAAAAATGGGGCAATAGTGTCTCTGCAAGAAACTGCAGTTGTGTTAAAGAGCCTGTTCCTTCTTAAGTAATCAATCTTCCACACTCACTTTTTTATCAAAGATGTTCCACCTTCTAGTTGGACATAATTTTTACATTTCTCTGTCAACATACTTTTAAATTAGAGACTTGTATTTATCAATCTAATCCTACAGACCAAACTAGTTCTGGGTTCATACGGTACTTCCTGACCTTCAAAATGTGGGATCCCATTTTGAGAAATATCATCAAACTTTACACGGCTAATAAAGTTTAGTGATGATATGTACATTTATCTGCCTGCATGCAGCACTCTCCATTTTAATGGACCACGTACACAACTCCATGTTAGTATGATTTACTAAAATGGACCACGTACACAACTCCATGTTAGTATGATTTACTACTTTATCAATTCTAGCTAGCATGATATCATGATATCACTAATATTTGTTGTTCTTTTTCTGTTGGTTCACAAAACCTTCATGGACCACGTGCATTCTCCTTTTTTGTTGTTCTTTTAATATTTGTTTGTATAAAAATTTCATTCCAAAAGAGAGAAAGTTCGAAAGAATTGGATTAAATCCCCCAATCACGCACGATCATGAGATGATAGATAAACAGAAGCAGCATGGCGAAGGCTTCTTCTTCTCTACCTTCTCTGTGTAACCTTGTACAGCCATCTAAAGATCCGTTGTAGTACTCGTCTTCGTAGGATCATGCAAGTAAGAGCTCAGAGCTTAGATGAAGAAGGTAACTCTCAAATTCTCAGTCCCCAGTTTTGTTAATGATTTCGGGATGCATGCATGCGCAGGATGGACTTTCATTGCCTTAATTTAGTTTCCTATTTCCAGTTTGCTTCTGGAATATATTTGCTTCAAGTTGTTTTAGCTATAGTCTACACAAGAACGCATCAAGCAAAGTATTCCTTTGTTTATAATTTATTATTGGGGAAACTTGATATAAGTCAATTTTTTTGAGTCAATAGTAGGAATAGTCCAGTTTATTAAAATAAGTCTAATTCCTTAAATTTAATTATCTCTTCAATGATAAGATTTATTATAAAAATCAAATTTCCTCCTAATTATCTCTTTGGTTTTTTTTTTTTTTGGTTATTTCTTGTTCTTCCTCCTGCTTTAAACCCTATTTATAGATTTTATTTTTAATTTTTATAATCAACATGTATCATAGCTTAATTTTATTTATCTACCTATTTGATATATTCTTTTTTTATAATCAACCTGTCATAAATTAATGTGTCTTACTTGTGGGTATATTATGTTTTTTCTACCTTTTAGTTAGGTTTCATATCTTGCTTATAGGTATAACATACATTCTAATATTTGTTACTTGAGTTAGGGTAGAATGTTTTGCAGATAGATTTATGTTAGAATTCTGTTGTAAGATATTAATTAGATTTTTTGGAGTTGGAAAATGCATAATATTAGAAGATTTTAATTGATTTTTAATATTTTTAGAAAATATACAATGAGTATAAAAGAAATAAAAACATATAATTAGATAACCGGACTTACTCCTAAAAGCAATCTATGTTTTTGGATCTGGATCTGAAATCCCCTTTATCATTTTAGTTTTTGACGCATGCAGTGTATACATATAATTAATTAGTTTCAATGTTTATTATAATATCCACTTATATATTATTTATTTTTCTCCTTACGTTATAAATTCAAGTAATTTAACTCGATAGTATATGTTTGACGTTGTTAATTTGGATCAAGAAATATTGTACATGATAATATATAGTATTATATTCTAGTATACTTTTAACAAATCTAAATAAGAACACACCAAAATTATTATTTTTAATTATACGTATGTGTATATATACATATTTGTGAATGAAGAAAATGAATAACTTGAGGTTTCAACATAAATTCAATTCGCAATATGGGGTGTAGCACAACTTATTTAATAAGCACATGCAAGATCTCTCATTTTCTGATTTGAGATTCACTCTCAACACGTCATGTGTGGTGAATTTTCAAGCCTAACACATGGATAACACAAATCGGGTGAGGTGGAGCATGTGTTGCCATTGGGCTTCACACATGCGAAAACCTGCTCTGATACCATGAAAAAGTTGAGATTCCCATAAATCCAATTGACCATATGGGTAGTAGCCCAACTTCCTTATAAGCACATGCAGATCCTTCTTCTCCCCATTGTTGAATTCACTCTTAACATAATACACTACTAACTAGTTTCCAATAATGCTTATAAACGTGTTATAGTGATACACTACAGTAACTAACTTCCTATATCAAAAAAGTTAACTTGCATGTTATATGTTTGATTCTTTTTTTGTCCTCAGGTAGATCAAGGAATATTGTGGATGCAAATTTGAGTGTTTTAAGAGAGAAGATGGAAGTCGTGAAGATGAGGGAGAGACTTGAGAAATATTGCTGCAAACGTCAACAAAATGGTTGGAATTATTCACCGGGATATAATTACAAACTCAGAAGAGCAAGAGATGTATCGACGTTCTTTGAGCTCATACGTTTAGTGGGCGTGACTCTTGGTTTTACCTGTTTTAGTGCCACATTCCTCCTTGTCCTTGTATCAATCTTGGTTCACTTGAATCCATGGTAATGCTACATGTATGGATGAACGACGTCTGTCTTTGGATAAGAAAAGGGGTAAATTATGTTTTACTACCTCAATTTTGGATCACATAACAAACCCATACCTCATCTTTTGAACATGGCAATGTCATACATCAACTTATGAATTCGTTGCAATGACATTGCAATGTTCAAAAGATGAGATATGAGTTTGTTATGTGACCCAGAGTTGAGGTGGTAACATGTAATTTACCCTAAAATTTACTTAGAAAGCAGAAGTATCAACAACAGCACCGCATGCATGCACTAGCTTTTAAAAATTAGGTGTCTTCTCTTTTCCAATGTTACATCTTGAAAATCACATGATCCACTATTAATGCAGTTTGTATCAATACAACTTTCATTAACCATAACTAAGTAAAAAATTAATTTTTTAAAGTACTCTTTTATTAGGTAATAACCTTATAAACACTACATCAGAATTAGTCTTTTACGGCGCACAATGCATAGAAAAATGGCAGAACGTATGTATGTATGTATGTGCAAAGAGATTATACTCCAATATTGAATATCAAATATGAAGATAGTACAACCCTAATATACAAACTAGCAACAACCTTTACAAGGCAAGTTTGACAAATTACAACAGCAGACAAGATCCTATAATCAAGTCCTACAATCAACGTCCTATACTAGGAAAATAATCATAACATCAATCAATGAATATTTACAATTAATACAAGAATTTCAACACTCCCCCTCAAGTTGAAGCATGTATGTTGTGAATGCTCAACTTGCTGAGAAGAGAATGAAATGTTGCATTCCCCAATGCTTTTGTAAATATGTTAGCCAATTGGTGCCTTGAAGGTGTAAACCTTGTTGCGATCATTCCTGATTGTAGCTTTTCTCGAACCAAATGACAATCCAATTCAATGTGTTTGGTTCGCTCGTGAAATACCGGATTGGCTGCAATATGTAAAGCAGCCTTATTGTCACAGTAAACATGAGCTGGAGCTGCATGAGGCACTTTTAAGTCTTGTAACAAATAACGAAGCCATGTAAGTTCACAAGTGATTGCAGCCATTGATCTATACTCCGCCTCTGCAGACGAATGTGAAACCGTATGTTGCTTTTTAGTCTTCCAGGAGATGAGTGATTTTCCCAAAAAAACACAATAACCTGTCACAGATCTTCTAGTTGTCCAACATGATGCCCATGAAGCATCACAGTAACCCCTCAATTGCAATGCATCTTCAGATGAAAAAAACAACCCTTGTCCTAGAGTCCCTTTGAGGTATTTTAAGACTTGTATAACAGTTGCAAGATGAGGCTTGCGAGGTTGGTTCATGAACTGACTAAGAGTTTGAATAAAAAATGTGATATCTGGCCTTATTATGGTGAGATAAATAAGTCGTCCCACGATCCTTCTATATCGTGTTGGATCCTTCAACAATTCACCATCCGTTGGCCTTAATTTCAAATCTTGCTCCATGGGAAAATCAACCGGACATGCCCCTAACAATCCAACATCATCCAGTATGTCTAAAATATATTTCCCTTGTGAGATAGAAATACCTCATTGTGAGCGAGCCACCTCGATTCCAAGGAAATATTTGAGAGGTCCAAGGTCCTTAATGCGGAAATGACGATGAAGAAAATGTTTCAATCGTTGTATAGCCTCATGATCATTCCTTGTAATGATCATGTCATCAACATATATAAGCACAACTGTAATAGAATGCCCAGTTATGCATGTAAACAATGAGTAATCTCTCGACTGTTTGAAACCTATAAGTTGAATGGCCTGAGAAAACTTAGAGAACCATTGGTGAAAAGCCTGCTTCAGGCTATAAAGTGATTTATGGAGTCGACAAACCAAGTTTTCCCCCTGTCGACTAAGACCGGGATGAGGTGACATGTAAACCTCTTCCTCCAAATCACCATGGAAGAATGCATTTTGTACATCAAGCTGGTAGAGAGGCTAGTTACGTTGTGCAGACACGACTAATAAGCACCGAACAGTAGTAAGTTTAGCCACAGGTGCAAACGTTTCAGAATAGTTCAGACCCTTAATCTGCGTGTAACCTTTGGCAACCAATCGTGCTTTATAGCGCTCGATGGAACTGTTAGAGCGATGCTTGATCTTGTAAACCCATTTACTGCCAATGGCACGTTTTCCAGGCGGCAGAGGAGTGAGCGTTCATGTGTTGTTGTGTTCAAGTGCAGCAAGTTCAGACTTCATTGCTTCCTGCCAATGAGAATCAAGATTGGCCTGTGCAAAGGAAGTAGGTTCTACACAACGGGTTATGTTTTTCACAAATATTTGGTGAGATTGTGATAAATGAGAAGATAAGAGGTAAGTGGATAGTGGATATCTAGTACCTGACCGCGAAGAAGAAGTGGATTTGGAAGTTGACGTGGTGACCTGTGAGTAGTCATAATCCTTCAATAAGACAGAAGGTTGCTTGGGGCGTAAACCGCGACCAAAAATAGGTGGTGGTGTGACGTTGTCTGCTGGGCTAGGGAGATCAAAAGAATTCGGTTGGGACACGGTCGACGATGGAAAAGATATTTCAGGTGGAGTGTTTTGTGGTTGATCATGGGAGACCGTGAGTTGAGAATGGTCAAGTAAGGTGTTTGGTGGTTGTTGAAGGGTAAATGGAGAAGTAGGAGACTCAGTGGGGCTAGGTAAATTTGTTTGTGATGGATTTGGATGAAATATAGGCAGGTCTGGGCCTAATGAAGTGGTTTCGGATGTGGTTAGTGGCAAGACATGCACAAGTTCATCAGGTTGGGTGTCTTGAGTAAGGTGAGAGAAAGGGAAAATGTGTTCATGAAATACCACATCGCGACTAGTAAAAAATTGGTTATGTTGAAGGTCGTAAAGACGATACCCCTTTTGACTAGAAGGATATCCAACAAAGAGACATCTACGAGCCCGAGCATCAAATTTATGTTTAGGTGATGTTTGTGTTGCATAGCAAAGACACCCAAAGACCCGTAAGTGCATATATGTTGGTGTGCGTTTGTAGAGCATTTCATAGGGAGCTTTTTTGGATAAAACTATGGTGGGTGTGCGATTTATTAGGTAAGTGGCAGTGAGAATGCTTTCTCCCCAAAATTTGAGTGGAAGATTTGCCTGGAAACGAAGTGCTCGACCAACATTAAGGAGGTGACGATGTTTACGCTCCACCACCCCATTTTGTTGTGGTGCGTGTGTGCAAGTATGTTGAAAAAGTGTCCCTGATTTGTCAAAGAAGGGGCGCATGGATAGAAATTCTACGCCATTGTCGGTTCGAATTTGCTTGACTTGACACTGAAATTGGGTGTTGACATATGCAAAAAATAGTTTTATTTTCTCTTGTGTTTCAGATTTTAAATGCATGAGAAATAGCCAAGTGAATCGGGAGTAATCATCAACAATGGTTAAGAAATATCGTGCACCTGAGGAAGAGGGCAAACGGTGCGGACCCCAAATGTCACAATGTATCAACTCAAATGGTTTTGAACTAGAAGTAGAACTTAAGGAAAATGGTAACCTTGTTTGCTTGGCTATTGGACAGACATCGCAATGAGAATCAAAATTAAAAGAAATTGAAGGAATAGAACTAGATAAAAATGGGCTGGACCATTGGAAAGGTGCCCGAGCCGTTGGTGCCATATGTTGGCTGATGTGGATGCAGAGGCAGCAGCTACCCCAAGCTTATTCTGTCGAAATATAACGTCTTCATTGACTGGTACAAGGTAATACATGCCATCACGCTCCTTCCCCAATCCAATCATCTTCTTCGTTGCCAAATTATGTAGGATACAAAAGGTGGGAAAGAAAATGATCAAACAATTCAACCCTGAGTAACTTTGCTAACTGACATCAAGTTCACTTGAAAACCAGGAACACAAAGCACATCTTTTAGTTCTAAATTGGGAGTGATCTTGATTGACCCAAGACAAGAAATTGTTGCTTGTGACCCGTTTGGCATATTGACGGAGGAATAATGTGGGTTCCTTTTTTCATTTAAGTTGGAAGAGAAAGAAATGTGGTCTGTAGCACCACTATCAATAATCCAAAAATTTGGATTATTTGTGGAAAAAGAATAACATCGGGCATTAGGAATACCTGCTGCATTTGCAAAAACCTGATTTTTACCATCACCTTGGAGAATGGCTTTGATTTGGTTGATTTCGTCCGCTGTGAATTTCAAATCATTAGGGACTTTGGTGGTGGTCGACTTTGCTTCTTCTTTGTTGATATTATTGGCCACTGCACGCCTATTTTTGTTTGGAGGCTTTATGTCCTTCCCGTGGAATTTGTGTCCAGGAGGAAAGCCATGAAGGTAGAAGCAATAATCAATTGTATGAGTATTGCCATCACAATAAGTGCAATGCTTTACCTCCACCATTGTTTGTCTTGTGAGGCTTGTTCCCAGTGGTCTTAGATACGTTCATGGCATGTGCAGTTCTGCTCTCACCACCTTCAACCATTTCTCTTTGTTTCTCTTCTTGTAAAAGCAGAGAGTATGCCTTACGAATGCTTGGTAGTGGCTGCATCAAGATGATCTGTCCTCGAACCGCCGAATAAGAATCATTCAACCCCATGAGAAACTGAATGACCTGTTCTTGCTGTTCCTTTTCATTGACCGCTTTCATCGTCCCACATGTGCAAGCTGAAATTGTGTTGTAGGATGCTACTTCGTCCCAAAGTCCTTTGAGTTTGGTATAATATACCGATATGGACTGTTGGCGTTGTCGGTGTTCGATGATCTCTCTTTTGATTGGAAATATGATAGAAACGTTCCTTCAAATCCTCCCATATCTCAGCAGGAGAATTCGTATATAGGACGCTGCTCATCAAAATGTTACCGATGGAGCTGACCATCCATGAGAGGACCATGTCGTTGCATCGTTTCCAAAGGGAATATTTGGCGTCAGTTTCTGGTGGAGCTTCGATCGAACCATCCATAAAACCGAGCTTGTTCTTGGCGCTTAAACTGATTGTCATTGCACGGCTCCATGTGGAATAATTGTCACCATCCAGTGGTTTGGAGACAAGGTGTAGACCCGGATGATCCGAGTGATGGATGTAGAATGGATCAGTGATGTCCATTGTTGTTGTGGGTTGTGACTTGTTTGGTTTTTGTTTAGGAGTTTCTTCGTCACTCATGTTGAACGACGAGATTGAGCGGAAGCGTTTCAGGCACCAAGAGGGTGCCCTGATGCCAAGAAAAATGGCAGAACGTATGTACGTATGTATGTGCAAAGAGATTATACTCCAATATTGAATATCAAATATGAAGATGGTACAACCCTAATATACAAACTAGCAACAACCCTTACAAGGCAAG